TGGTGAGTGAGAAGGGGTCAGTCTCGTCGTTACTTCCTAAGGTCTTCGCCCTAGGCAAACTTCCTACTAAACACATTATTAGGGGAATGCCTCCTAGCATGAAAGCTGTTCTCGCTTTCTGCTCTTAAATAACCATTCTTATCAACTCATTTCAACATTAACTCATAAAAGTTCTCGACTTCTATCTTTATCTCAACACAAATCCACTAGGACCACCGCGTTACGTCACGTCGTCCGGTGTCCTACCCTAGTATGCCAACCGCGTTACGTCTCGTCGTCCGGTTGCATACCCAAACTCGGCAATGGCTCTGCGTTACGTCTCGTCGTCCAGTCCATGCCCGTCAACTACTGCGTTACGTCTCGCCGTCTAGTAGTGACCCCAACATACTCGATCAACTGCTATGTTACGTCTCGCCGTCCAGCAGTGACCCGACCATCTACCGCGTCCAGTAGTGGCCCAACCTCCCGGGGGTTCCTCATACCATCAATACATACAACATCACACACATTCATACATAGCACAAGGTGTGCCTCCACCCTTACAGGCGGTGGGATGCCTCACACACATATCGCGCATACTATTACAATTAACTAAATAATAACTTGAACGAAAAACGGAAACTAAAAGACCTACGACAGAGATTTTACCCCCTTTACACTCACCTCTTTAGTCGCATCAACATCTGCATTCTCACGCTCAAGCCCTGCGCGTTTTTCCTCTTTTGGCTCCTCCTCTATCGGTTCATCGTCTTCCTCTTCAATGACCCTAACCATTGGAGCTCCGCCGCCATTCTCTTCAAGGTCCTTCCTCGGGCGACATTTCAGCGGCCAACTTCGAACTCCCGACACCCCGGGTCTTCTAGGAGGATAGGGTCGGGGCCTCTCCATCGCTTTACCCCCGCCAGTTGCGATCACCGATGTCGAGTTCTCGGCCTTTCTTCCACCTCTAATAGACGCGGCTCTTCCCCTCCTACTAATCGGTGTGAACCTTTTCATCACGCGAGACTACGAAGTTCGATCGACTGCTAACTTTCTCGCCTTCTTTCCCTCCTTAGCCGGATTATCCCAGGACACCTATTAATAAGAAGTTCTTACTCTAAGACAACCTTTCTCGATTTAAAAGCCTCCTTTTTATATACCCAGACGCCCTCTACTCAAAGTCTCATCCTCAAACCTCACTCCAAAGGTCCTTTAACCCCCCATTAAAATTTCTAGAATTAATCCCTTCAAAACCGACTATTTTTCTTAATTATTTTTATCTTGGACGAATTTTTCACCTGACTAGAACCTTGTTATACTTTTGGAAAATAATATTCCCATGTCAATCATGAGCACCTTTACCCTGAAAAATTATCAAACCCTTAAAAATCCCTCGGAAAGATTTTTATTTAATTAAAACGAATATTAGAACAATTTCAAAAAATAGAAATACATCTTAAAAAAACCCAAATTTAATTACAACCATTGCCTAGACGTCACTCAATTTGTAAAATTGTTAAATTCAGAAAAAAAAACCTTCAGAGAGGCTAAAAACAATTTAAAACATCCAAAAATACGTTTCTGGAAATTCCCAGCAGCTTTAGTGACCAATCAAAATCTGTCACTAAAAGCCTGTAAAGCCTGTTGCTAAACCTCAGAATTGCACCCTCACGAAAAATTCTCAAATTAATCGACCTAACTCAAAGCGATCGAGTTCCCGGGACGTTGATATCCTCGTTGATTGAACCCTCAAACGCTACCGCTAATAAAATACGAGCTTCGGATTAGACTATCGATAAATCGAGTTTAGAAATTGCGAAGAGGTTTGTGATCCTTACCTAGAAACACGAAAGGGGTGGGATCGGGATTGGGATCGGGGTCGGTGCATAGGGAGGCGGCAACTCCCTTTCTTCTTCTTTTTTTCTCTGCCGCGCGGGGGCTGAATTCTCTGGGCAATTACTTGAAGAATGACGGCAGGGTGGGAATTATTAGGGGGGGGGGGGGGGGTTGGGATTAGTGAGGGCCGCTCGGCCCCCCAGGTCTGATATATATGTTTTTTTTAATAAGTAATAATAATAATAATATTATTATTCTCAATTCGCAGTTGTAACTCTTAGTACGTAACCGTCAATCCAACCGATCACGTATTACGGCCAAACCTAAATCTAAAATACCGGGGTGTTACATGGGTGCCTTTAAAGCCCCAGACAGAGACGGTCTAAATCCTCTCTTCTTTCAGCGGTGTTGGGACCTAGCGGGGCCTGCGTTCGTGGAGTTTGCACAATCATGTTGGCTAAACCCATCTCGTGTAAAAGAAAGTTAATGCCATTATTGTAGCTTTGATACCGAAGTTGAAGCAGCCGGTGTCGGTCGATCAGTTCCGACCGATCAGTCTTTGCAACGTGACCTATAAAATGATCAGAAAGTGCCTTGCGGAAAGGATCAAGACAATCATGCCGCAACTGGTACACGAGACGCAGACGAGCTTCGTCCCACGACGACATATTACTGGCAATATTTGCATTTTGCAGGAAGTTATCCACTCGATGCGTGCTAAAAGGGGAAAGACAGGCTGGATGGTCCTCAAGATTGTCCTGGCTAAGGCAAACGACCGCATTAAAAGGAGCTTCGTTCATGACACTTTGGTCGCAGCGAGAGCTCCCCCGAGGTTTATTAATCTCACGATGAGCTGTATTTCCACCTCGAGTATGCAGATTCAATGGAATGGAGGCTTGACGGAGGATTTTGAACCATCGCGAGGGTTACGTCAAGACTGTCCTTTGTCTCCTTACATCTTCACTCTATGCATGGAGAGTTTGGGACATCTGGTCAGTGCAGCGGTGGAGGAGCGGAAATGGCAGCCGATCAAGCTTTGAAGCAAGGGACCAGCTCTCTCGCACCTATTCTTTGCTGACGATCTAATCTTATTCAGTGTGGCCTCTTTGGAACAGGTCCAAGTGATTCTCCAGTGCCTTGAAGATTTTGGTGCAGCCTCCGGACAACAAGTTAGCCGCCCAAAATCGCGGGTCTTCTTCTCCAGTAATGTTTTGGAGGTTAGTGGTGGTACGTTGAGCAATGCTCTCGATATCCCGGAGACCAAGAACCTCGGCCGTTATTTGGGGGTTCCGGTTATCCACGACAGAGTCTCTAAAGCTACTTATACATATCTGATAGATCGGGTCGATGCGAAGCTTGCAAGTTGGAAGGCTAACACTCTATCTCTCACAGCCAGGATAACCTTAGCTCAGTCCGTGCTTGCATCTTTGTCGGCCTACGTTATGCAAACAACGTTTTTGCTAGCAGGAGTCAGGGATTATATTGATAGGAAGATCAGAGGGTTTATCTGGGGTAGTTCGGAGCAAGGGAGGAAAATCCATTTGGTGGATTGGGATACCGTGTGCAAGCCGAAGGAGCAAGGAGGCCTGGGACTCCGTAGTGCTACGAGGATGAACGAGGCTTTCATGGTGAAGATCGCACTGGGGGTGTTCACAGAACCAGATAATCTCTGGGCCAGAGTTATCATGGGTAAGTATGTGTCCCGAACTGAAGATGGCTGGGTTCCGAGAACAGAAGGCAGAATATCGAACTTGTGGCAAGGGGTTCCACGGATTTTTCATCTCATTTCGCAAGCGACGATGTGGTCGATCAAGAGTGGAGCTCAGGCCAGGTTTTGGCGTGACTGTTGGCTGCAGGACTAGCCACCATTTGGGGACTATGCCGCCAATCTCCCTGAAGAAGCAGCCCACCTAACAGTAGCGGAGTTAGTACTTAATGGGAGCTAGAACTTTGAGTACGTTCGGGCTTTCTTACCCGAAGACTTGGTGATGCAACTCCAGCTTCATCCTGTTCCACAGGAGAACCACCCGGATGTTCCTCTCTGGACACTCTCCCCATCTGGAGCCTTTACGCTGAAATCGACATACGAGCTAACGGGAGAGGAGACGGATGCAAGTGAGTCTCACCCGGTGTGGAAAGCGGCATGGAAAATCCCCGGAATGCAACGGACACGAGCTTTCTTCTGGTTAGTACTGCATAATCGGCTACTTACGAATGCTGAGAGATACCGGCATTACTTAACGTCGAATGATAGATGCCCCATTTGTGGAAATGGCTCTGAAACTACTTTTCATGTGATACGAGACTACTCGTACGCTAGAGCTGCGTGGGCGGAGGTCCTCCAGGATGAGCCGGATAATAACTTCTTCGATTTAAATGTAAGCAGGTGGGCTCTTCACTATTTGTCGGATCGCAGCACTAGAATCGACCCTACTCTCTTTGCGATTTTTTGCTAGACCTTTGTGGAAGAATAGAAACTCCTGGATTTTTGAGAAAAAGCTGGCTTCAATAGCTGAGCTAGTGCAGAGAGTGCAGGAGCTTAGAAGGCAGGTGGATGCAGCTCTTCAATGCTCGACGCGGGTGCTGGGAGAGGGTTAGGAGACGACGGCCAGTTTGATTAGCTGGCAGCTCCCCCCGGCGGGCTGGGTTTGTTTAAACACTGACGGGTCGGTGACGGAAGCAAATGGCAGTGGAGCAGCAGGTGGAGTAGTGCGAGATAGCGTGGGAAGGTTCATACAGGCTTATGCAGCTAATCTTGGGGGTGGATCGATAACCCATGCCGAGCTCGCATGAATAATGCACGGGCTGAGGATCACTTGGGAAGTAGGATTTCTCCATGTTGTTGTTCAGACGGATTCAAAGACAGCCATTGACCTAATCCAGGCGGCCCCAGAGAGACATCCGCATAGCACCTTGGTCTTAGAGATTCGTCGCTGGCTGGGAAAAGATTGGGAGGTGCAGGTCATGCATGTTTTCAGAGAGGGTAATTTTGTTGCGGACTATTTAGCTTCTTTGGGCCACTCATTGCCTAGGGGCGTCCACAATTTCGTTAATCCAAGCGCTACGCTCAGATATTGACTGTACTTTGATGCCATTGGGGTCCAAACCCCTCATTTTATTAATGAATAAGGGTTAGGGTGCACTATTCTCACAAAAAAAAAATTTCCCCATTCCCTCGTCATCGTCCCTCCTTCTCTCACACGCTCTCTTTCTCGTTTTTTCCCCCCGTCGGCCCTCCAAACTCCTCCATCCTCAGGCGAGTGGCGAGCAACCTGACTTTGCCCCTATTCCCGTCCAGCGCTGCCGGCAGATGCCTTGTCTAATCTTCCGTCGCCGAACTCATCGTCCCCTATCTATTCGTCAGTAGTTGCTCTGGTGTTTAGCGTTCACATGCAAGTGTTCAATTTGGGTGAAGTAGATTGACCAAATCCAAACCCCAACCCTTCGATATATTCTAGCATTTGAATTTTGATTTGGGGATCTTGATTTGGATTTGGCTATCAAGAGAGATCGAGAGAGAGTAATTGGTCGACAAGGAACTGGGAAGAGGAGGGGATTCAAGATTGGGGTTGTTGTTGATTTGTTTCGGTATATTTCACAGAAAAGGGTTATGGGTTTTGTAATTGAAGGGATGATGATGATAAGTTTGAGATAGATGAATCTTTCCGGGAATAAGCAGTGTCGATTAACAGTTTCCATCTGTTTAGCGTCTGCAGATTTCTTCATTAAGCATAATGTTTGGCGTCAGGAGAACATTGGCCTCCTGTGAAAGGGGGCTTCACATGTTGTCCCGTGGCGATGGTCCTTCGGAGACATTGAGAAGAAGGGTATCAGAGTTGGAGAAGTTGAGGAAACGGAAGAACCCCAGAAAGCATGAACTTTTTGTGCAAGTTCCTGAATCGTTGAAGTTCCTCGACACTGCTACAATGCCGATGATTCTCACTGTTGTGGGTACTGCACTCGTCGCAAAGCTCCTAATGATGGTATATTTCAACTTCCTGCTGTCTTACCCTGGTTTAAGGTTATCCTTCTTGACTTAGAATATTACAATTGATGATGAACATGATTGTTATCAGGAACACGAACGAGTCCCTGGAGCTTGGTTTTGGGTTGCTACTTTAGCTGATTTTAGAATTATGCTTTAAAATGTAATTTCCACTGAATCAAAAGCATAACAAGGACCCATTTTGCTGATACGTTTAGTGCGCACTTGCACTTAGACTGGTATTTTTTCATTTCATTATTAGGACTTTGGTTTGTCTCTCTTTTAAGTAACCTATTAGTAACTAACCATGGATCAAGTTTAATGGATCGTAGTCTTTTTCACACCTTAGGCATAGTTAGAATTGTTTCAGATGTCTTTTATTGCCTTTTCTGTGCTCATTGGTCTGTTTTCTTGTAACTGATCAGTGGCTTTTCTGATTTTAATCTATCAATAGTGTACCTAATGATGTGATCATTGATTATCACAGTATGATCAATCGAAATCAGAAGAAATGATCGAGCGCAAAATTGAGCATGCTCCTCCAGGTCAAGGCACCGTGAGGATGCTTAGTCGTGAGGAATGGGAAGAAATTCGAGAAGTGAGGCCTAGAACTCCTTTTGAATCTAAGCTTGCTCGACCAAGAGCCCGAATAAGAACTGATGATGCCATCAGCGTGGTAAGTGAGCCTCTTTTTCTGCACTTTGTCATCTAATTTCTGTTCATCGAAATTTGTGTAAAAAATTAGTATGAGTTGGGACTATCAATAAGCTATTTAAAATTATATCGCTATTGTGATGAGTTCACTCATAAGGTGCTACATGCATTACTCACGAAGTATTTGCATCATTCTATGGTATATTTTCTCGCACTTCACTGGTGAATCCTAATGCAACTGACAACTATATTGACTCTTCTGTCTAGCAAAGATGTTTGCCAGCCTTTTTGACCATTTATGTATATCCGATGCTCACTGTTTTTAGTGTTTATGTTCATGCATTCCCAGGTTCTCTCCATTCATTCACTCATATTCCAAATATTTCCATTCTTGACGCCATGTCTTAATGTCTATGTTGTATGATATTCGTTACTTGTAGACGATTCCTTGGATCAAAACCTTTTCATGTTGGCCTCGCCTAAAAAACTCTTCATGAATTATTTTTTAGGGTTGTCTTGAGGTGTAGAAATTGTTTTGATGCATCCACGCATCCCGCTGCAGTTTTCTTCTTACCACTTATAATAAGTTGTTGCAACGAGCTGTGGTATTTTGTGGATGCTATTGATGAGCCTTAGTCGTACTTGTTGTGTGCAGAGAGATCTGAAGGATTGGACCATAGATGTCCTGACAGATGGTTTCACTCGCATTGAAGAAGCCACCAAACGCCATTAGCTGCATGTGAAAATGCTGATGAATTTGATCCTTGCATACTGAAACTAACACTATGAATTTGATCACTCCCGTTGAGAAGGAGAGAGGAAGTGTTTGTGGGAAGAAGAAGAAGAGTGACGAAAGGTTTGGTCGACTCATTTTACTTGGTCAAATAGTTAAAACAGAAAGGTTTGAAAGTGCTTGACTGAGTTTGACCAAATGCAGTGAAAATGAAAGTGAACACGAGGATCTTATAGGATGATCAGTTATAGTCAAAATTGATATGATATGTTGGGTTCACCTTGCTTTATTCATTATGATGACAAATTAATATTCGAGTCTGTGACATGAGCTAGCTATCTATATTGGTCAAAGGTTGTGCTTCGAGTTTGCTCATTATCCTCGAGGTTGCGATGAAGGTTTAACAATATTATTTATAAACTAGCTTTTACTCGATCTATTGGTCGGTGGACCCAAATTTTGTTTTAATTTGTATTATTTATGGTTATCAATATTTATATTTTAAATAATTTAAATATTTTTAGTCTTAGCATGATGTGAAAGTAATATTGTGGCACTCGTTGTTGATTATACTATGGCTAATTAGTTCATAGGTATTTTTATTTATCAGTTGGTCCTAACTTATTGTTTTCCTTTCTATTTTCACAACAAAAATGTGAATATTCAACTCTTCTTTTTCTTTTCATTATCTTTTTTTTTTATATTTAGTGACAACAACTAGTCGTCGCGTCTTTCCTCGTGCCTTCAAAGAGAGCGGTGGCTGCCACTGACTGTCTCTCTCCCCCCTCTACATGAATGCATTTCTAACCTCTTCCTCTCCTTTGTTAGAGACGAAATGGAGGAATCGATTTTTCATTGATGTTGTACATACGTGGTTGTCTCCTCTCCTCTTGTAGGGTAGTTTTTTTTTGAAAATATATTGTCTAGCGGAATCTCAAAGAGGAAGATCTTTTATTTTCCTAAATTATGTGGTAAATTTATAAATGGTGCCTAGAAGTATAATAAAGTTTACAAATTGTCATTATTAAACAAATTAGGTACATAATATATGCAAAGTTTACATATTAGAATATAATGTTTACAAACGTCACATTTTCAAAAGTTACAACCTATAAGCCAAATGTTTACAGAGTTACAATTGACAACGCTACAAACACGTTTTTGGTATCCGATTGTATTAGTTCCTGATGAGGATGCCAATCCAACCTTGTGTGGTACAATCCCCAAATTGCCCTTTATCCTACCTGTGATGTTCTGCCCCAATCAACTTCGTCCCTATCCTATCCGCTACAAATAGAGATGCAAAAGTCAAAAGCCGAAATTAAAAGCCAAAAACCAAAAACCCGAAATCGAGAAAAAACCGAAAAAACCACCAATACATTTTATCGGTTCGGGTTCAGTTAAAACCAAAAATCCAAACCCGAATTGACACCCCTAGTGTCACCCGGACCAAACCAACCCAAAACCCAAAAAAACAAATTCACATGGATGGATGAGGGTGTTGAAATTATCGACCCTGTGATGTCCGAATTGGTTATGGGTTTTTCCTTTGGTTGGTCGGATAAATTTTATTTTATATATAAATTAATTAATTCATTGATATTTTAAATGATTTGCAATCTATTAAATACTTTATATATGATTTGAACGTAATTTATGTTGTTTGTTATATTAGTGATAATTAGGTTTTAGGTATTTTGTACGTTCAGTTCATCATAACATACAATTTTTATATGTTTTCCTAAATATATTAGCACTATTTGTCAGCATAAATTGTTCATGAGGTATTTATAAAAGAAATTCGGTACTATTTACCAATGTAGTCAAAATCGCGCTTTAAAACTTAAAAAATTTCAATTTCACGTTTCTAGGTCACTAAAACACTTCTACACAAAATCTTAGTTTTTATAACTTATGTAGTTAAAAACTCTGCTTTAAAACTTAAAAACTTATGATTTTACGCTTCTAGATCACCAAAACATTTCTACGTAGAAACTCGCTTTTGACTACGTTGCTATTTACTTACTTTTCTATTAGCTTCAAACAAAACTAAAGCAATTATGTATAGAAGTAGTGATTAGAATGGTCTACTGGTAATATAGAAAAATAAAATTTACCACATACCGGTTCAAATTTCATGGCCAATAATCGTCTAAAAATATAATAACTAAAAAGCATAAATTATCAAATGCTAATTTCATTGAAAAGTAATTTCAATGTTCAAAAACAATTGTGATTAAAATTGAGCACACGAACAATTTGCCGCAAATTTGGATAGTCAAAGAAGTCGATCTAAACAATGTTCTAGATCGTTTGTGATTTTGGGAAACTTCGCAAGCTCTTTGGAGAGATGGCTCAACTCCCACCTCGGTTTCTCAACCAAGTATGATTTAAGTTCGACTGGTGAACGGTGGTTCAAAGTTTTAGACTGTTAACGGTGGAAAAACAGGTTGGATGGGCTGCGCTTGACTTTTATGAAGATGACGATTTTTACTACGGTCCACACCTTTTGAAACACTGTTCGAACAATGGTGTTCGGTGTATGGGGAATCTACGTTACTTTACACTACTCCTATGGAGATTCTTTGAGAGCTCCGCGACTACAACTAAGACTACTGCTATGGAGGATCCTTCGCGGAGGAGAGCTCTGCAAACTACATAGAATAAGGAAAATGGATAGTTGAGACAAGTTGTATTTGTGTTGAGTTGTGATTGTCCCCCTTGCTCCAGGATCTTGCTTCAAGTTTTGTTGCCAAGATTTGTCCAACTGCTCTCTCTCTCCTGAAAAATAGCTCCGCTTAGCCTCTACGCAAGTCAGTTGTCGCCAAGATGTCTCTGGACACATCATCACATCATCCTATTTCAACATGGATGGTACATCCAGCTAGTACTTTGGATGGTATCCATGATATGGGATGGTCACCATCCAATCAGTCACATTACTTAGAAAGGATGTGTACTTAGACTTTACATGTCCACGACCACTTATATGGCTTACTTGTCTTTGTTTCTAAACTCTAAAGTATTGTTGCCTCATACACTTGGCACACAACCACCTTTGATCCTTTGCTTTACCATATCTTGTTGGTGCATATTGAGGCTTCTTATGTATGCCACTATGTCCACCATTTTTTGTTGACATCTCACCGCCTTGTCCATCATTTTCTACAATGTTAAATTTAGGCAAACCATGTGTGGCTTGATCATACTGTAGATTATTTTATCTGCCCCCAATCCAACTTTTGTGGTTGGTGACATCCCCGCCCCCTCCTCGGTCTGTTCCTTATGATGCTTTTACCTTTACCCACTGGGAAGAGTTTTTGGTTACCATCGTTGCAACATCTCCTGACTTGATGAAATGTGATAAAATATTCTTACACCTAGAATATTGCTTTTGTCTCAGCTTGCCAAGAAATGGGATGGCATGTCTCCCTGATAGCTTAATTTGACCATTAATGTCAAGCTCCCCTTTGTGCTTCTCCTTTTCAATGAACTCACAAATGAGTTGCTTAACATATCTTTTACTTTTGATTTTTCTAGAAGCATGTTTGCATATACTTCCTTGCAATGGCTTTCATAAGAAATCTCTTTTTTTTGCACCTTTACAAGCAATGACGTCCATTGGAAATGACACATTTAATTGTTAGCTTCTGTCAACAGTGTTTGTGCCAAAATAGGGGATGACTCCTTATTGATATTATCTGATCCACGATCATTTTTATCATTAACAGATGTTGCTTCTCTAACATTTTTACCAGTCAAGCACGACAAGTTGGATTGACCAGTACATTTACCATGACATTGTGGATTGTCCATCGAAATGGCCAGACACCCAACTTTCTCATCAACCAATTGTGGTTGGCTTCTTAAACAACAAGCTTGGTTATTGCTTACTGTTTCAATTTTTTCATTCAACAAATCTTTGTCACTCAACAACAAGATTTTTTCTGGCACAATGGATGCATCATGCATAATTTCATAGTTTGAAATTTCAGAATCACAAACATATCTATCAATCATTCTATCATACGCTTTATCAAAGCTTTGTTCAAGATGATCTAAATGCTTATGTATAGAGGCAATGTGAAGATTTACCTGTTGGTCGATTTTATAGAGTTCAACCACCATTTGATGAATCTCCTCCATAATTTGGTGGAGAGAAGGTACTGCTTCACTTGGATATGCGTTTGGCTCCAAGACTGACACCATTGCTCCAATAGCGTTGTCAGAAGTCTCACCAACCTGGTCAATTTCAACATTGACCAACTGATCCTCCTCCGCAAAACCTTGTGAAAGATCATCTTCTTGCTGCCTCCATCGCGAAGACATACCATACACACGTGTCCCACCAGGTGTGCCAATATTTTAACAGTGGAAAAACAGGTTGGATGGGTTGCGCTTGACTTCTATGAAGATGACGATTGTTACTACGGTCCACACCTCTGTAAACACTATTCGAACGAGGGTGTTCGGTGTATGGGGAATCTATGTTACTTTACACTACTCCTTTGGAGATTCCTTGAGAGCTCCGCGACTACAACTAAGACGATCGCTATGGAGGATCCTTCTAGGGAGAGCTCTGCAAACTACATAGAAAAAGTAAAAGGGATAGTTGAGACAAGTTGTCTTTGTGTTGAGTTGTGATTGTCCCCCTTATCCAAGATCTTGCTTCAAGTTTTGTTGCCAAGATTTGTCCAACTGCTCTCTCTCTCCCAAAAAATAGATCTGTTTAGCCTCTACGCAAGTCAGTTGTTGCCAAGAAGTCTCTAGACACATCACCACATTATCCTATTTCAACATGGATGGTACCATCCAGCTAGTACTTTGGATGGTATCCATGATATGAGATGGTTACCATCCAATCATTCCTTTGGATGGTGTCCGTAATATTTGGGATGATACCATCCACCATAGGGTTGGGATGGTCACCATCCACTTAGAGTTTGGATGGTGTCCACTATGTGGGGATGGTCACTATCCAATTAGTCCTTTTGGATGGTATCCATGTTGTTGGACACTACCATTCATAATAGGATTTGGATGGTACCCATGATGTTGGACACTTCCATCCATAATAGGATTTGGATGGTATCCATCATGTTGGACACTACCATCCATAATATTGTTTGGATTGGTATACATTATGATGGATGGATGGTAACAATGTTGTAGTTGGTACAGTCACCATCTTGGATGGCTACCTTACGACAAGCTACTACGCGCCAGACGGATGGCCCAACCATCCAATTCGGACCACCGAGTCCATATACGGGACAACTACTTAAGGTGTCCTAATTATTC